AAAAGTCTTGCGAGCACGTCTTGCAACCTGTTGACAACATAGCTGAGATCACTGGCATGGGACTTGTTGATAGCTTACACAGACACCTGCACTAGATGTTGGAGTAGCGGGAATTTCTCTTAGCTGTGCTCAAACTGACTGTACTCCTTCGCCTGTGGCTTGGGATGCATTTTTTGAAGATTACATACAGTCTCATTAGAGATCCCTGATCTTGTGTGCCACTGATACGGGCGCTGCAGTCTTCCAGCTGTATCCCCGGCGACAAGGTAAATCCACTGTGCTCTGCCTATTGTTCCATCTTCTCCTTTCTTTCCGAGGCCCCCTAAGTGTTTCTCCCCCTTCAGCTTCCCCCTTTCCTTTCCAGCAACCTTCCCAAACCCAGGTCCTGACACCCATCCAGCCATCTGATCCCTGCCCGCTTTGGGGAGACGCTCTTCTAATGGAATTCATGCAAGTAAAAGAAAGCAGCTCACAAATATCTGCGGAGGCCAAAAAGAAGGAGGAGGGGGAAAAAAGAAACAACCAAAAAAGTGAGGAATTTCTTTTTCCAACGTAGGAATTTCCACGAAATTCCAACGAGGCATTCTTTCTTTCTTTTTCCTCCCTCACTGCTAACTTCAGAAGTGCAGTAGGACCTGGTCACCATCCTTTTTAATTTTTTTTTTGTAATTATTTTTTTTTAATACTTTTTTTCTCCCCTTCTAAGGCACGTTTTAGTGCACCTGCAGAAAGGCTGAGCGCCGGGAGAGTAGGAAATTGGAAATAAAAACTCCCGCATTGCTGGGGAGTGAGAGCATTTGTTTAGGAGGCCAATTATATCCGTCCCGGGATGATTTATATTAGCGGGGTAATTAGCTGTGCGCGCGGGGCACCTGCTCCCGGCCCGGCCGGGCACCCCCCGGCCCCTTACCGAAGCGGCTGTGGTCCTGCCGGGTGCCCTGCACCGTGCCGTTGGGGAAGATCTCCAGGTGGAAGCCGGTGCGGCAGTAGAGCTGCCGCCGCCGCAGGATGCCCTTGAGGTGAGCGAAGTCGGTGGGGGAGCCCCGCTGCAGCCGCCCCTCGATCTGCCCCAGGCGCTCGTTGAGGAAGCCGGGGGAGTCGGCGAGGGGCAGCCCGGCGCCCAGCGCGGGGGGGAAGCCGTGCAGGTCGGGGTCCAGCGCGCCCAGGAAGCCGCCCACCTCGGCCATGGGCGCGGAGCGCGGCGGCCCCGGGGGCGCGGGCACAGCGGCCGCTCAGAGCGAGCACTGCGGCCGCCCGGCCCCGCCGCGGCCCCGGCCCGGCCCCGCGCCGCCCGCGCCTCCCATCGCCCGATCCAGTGTCCCGCCGTCGGATGCGAACTGCACTTTATATACGTACACACTCCCCTTACATTGACATATTGGATATTTAAATGCAAGCCACACCTCACTGGCATCCCCTTCGGCTATTGCTTTATTTCACCACCACCCCCCCTCCCCGCTTCTCCTCTGATCCATTTGGCTATTTTTTTTCCCTCTTAAAAAAAAAAAAAAAAAAAAAAAAAAAAAAAAAAAAAAAGAAGGGGGGGGGGCCCCCTTCCCACCCTCTTTTATTATGAAAAAAAAAAAAAAAAAGGCAGGAAAAAGCTACACATCGCAGTGAGGCATAACAGCTCTTGGCAGGTCCCCGCCAGCCGGCGATGAAATCATGGAGCCCCCGCACAAACCCCGCACCGCCCGCAGCCCCGGCCCCGCAGCAGAGCCCCCGCACCCCGCTCGGGCCCTCGGTGCCGCCTCAGCCCCGGCCGCGCCCCCCAACCCAACAACTGCCCCCCGAACGGACACGGTGTGGAAAAAAAAACAACAACACGTGAGGAGAGAGGGTCGAGACGCGTTTTTCAGCCGAACGCGTGAAAACGGAACGCGCTGTCTCTGCCAAGGCGCTCCCGCGGGCGGCACGGCCGGGCTACGGCCGGCGGCAGGGCAGGGAGCCCGCGGCGGGGCCGGGCAGCGCCGCTCACCCTCCCTCTCTCCCTCCCTCCTTCCCTCTCTCCCTCCTTCCCTCCCCACCTTCCCCATGTTGGAAACAGGTGTTTCCGCGCTCTCCCGGCCCGCCGACACCGTCTGTGCGGCGGCAGCTGCGGCCGCGCTGCAGGCAGCCGGAGCCGGGCGGGGCGGGGGCACCGGGGCGGCCCGGGCACGGCCGGGCCGGGAGGGCCCGCGGGCAGGGAGGGCCCAGCCCAGCCCGGCTCGGCCCGGCCCGGCCCGGCCGCCCCCGCCCTGCCCGGCAGGCGGCGCTGCCGCTCGCGCCGCCCGGGGGAGCTGAGGGGGCCCCGGGCTCTGGGAGCGGGCTGGCGGGTCCGCGGGCTGGGGTGGCACCCGCGCCCCCCTCCGTGCCCCGCTATAGGACAGTGATCCCACAAACAAGCACCAAACACCCGAAATTGCCCCCGAGCCACCAGCCCGCTCCGCCGCGGCGGCTCCTCCGGGGGGCGTTGGCGTGCAGAGGTCGTGTCCCCCTCAGCGGGTCTCCCCCTATGGCAACTATTCCCTCAGCAGATCTCCCACTTTAGCAGGTCTTTCCTCAGTGTGACTCTGCTCTTAGTGGGTCTCCTCTCTCAGGTGTCTCCTCAGCAAGTCTATCCCATGGTGGGTATTCCCTCAGCAGGTCTCTCCCTTCCTGTGAACAGCCCCTCAGGAGGTCCCTGCCACGGTGGGTACCCCCTCGGAGCATCTCTCCCCTCAGCAGGTCTCATCCCACAGCAAGGTGCTGCTCCCCACATCACCCCAGAGGGAGGGTTTAAAATGCCCCTGGCTGGCAGCTCCTTTCCCTGCAGGCCTGGGCACTGCTCTCTTGTGAAGACACAAAGGAAACTGTCTGAAACACCCGCTCGTGTGTCTGCAGTGGGTGAGGGATCTGGGTTTGAAACGGGGCTTTGGGGTGGTTTTTCCTGTCAGAGATGTGGCTGTAAAAGGGGTGTGTTTGATGCAGAACTCAACACATGAAGCCTAAACCCCTGTTTTTTATAGAAATACAGGCTGTTCCAGAGGTAGTAAAATCTACAGAAGTGTGTTTGTTGGCTATTTGTTTATCGTGTGTGGTTACATGGAGATACCACTGTCTGAGGAGTTCAAGCATCCCACTGCAAAGATTATGATTTTATTGCTGTAGTATCTATATAAAAACTTAGGTGTGATGAGATAACTGTGGGAAATAAATTGTGCCTTGGTGAAATTGAGAGTGATACAAGATGGGGACGGGACAGACACAGCTGATGGGATACCCCAAATCCAGAATTACTGTTAAGGACATAACCCTGTAAATCCTGTGAATTTATTGCATGAAATTCATGTAGTGTGAAGGATCGCATTACAATCAAATACGCCTTTCTGTACAGTCTGGTTTTGCTGATGTAAGCAAGAGGTTTGCCTCTAGATTCGCAGCAAATTCCTGTTTCTGAACATGTCTGAGGGCTGATCCCAGGGGTACTCGGAAGAGAGAGGAAAAATCAGTTTTCACATTGAAAGGCCAACCAAACCATGCCGAGGCTTCTGCCAGTGGCTTCAATAGCCCCTGGATCTGTTGTAATATCCTTAAACCCAAATCCATACAAGCACTTAGTGGAACACTGAGGACACCGAGGAAGGTAACAGAGTTCAATTACACTGCAGTGAAATCCAAGATAAAGCCCAAACCCACAAACCTGCGTGCTTAACTAATGTATAACAAAAGCAGCACAATCCCCCGTCCAAGCTGACATTCCTCCCTTAACTCTCCCAATTACGGGCAGCTTTTGAATTGTCCGCGATACAATTTATTGAGAAATTGTACAGGCTGGTACAACATGTTCTATTTAGGCACAACAGGATGTGGAAAGGTAGCTTTCTCTCTCTCTCTTTTTTTTTCCCCCCCTTTGTTTTGTTTTGTTTTGTTTGTTTGTTTGGTTTTTTTGTTTTGGTCTTTAGTTTCCTGGTTTATTTATGTTTTTGCTAAGCTGAGGAAAACATAGATTTCTGTTCGGTAATTTTGAAGAAGAAAAGGGGTGTATTTTAAATACTGAAAGCTAGAGTGACTCCTTTGAAAGCAGAAACGTGTTTAGCAGTTTTTTTCATGTATGACATGGAACACAGTTCTGCACCCAGTAATTTCTTAAAACAGCACAGAAACTTGTGTACAATTTGTAACAACAGTGTCACAAAATTAACTTTCTGCTCTGCTTTGTTTCAGCTCATGCAGTTCTCCCAGGTTTATTCTTTGATTACAGCTTCCATTGTTCACCTGGGGAACTGAAATGGTTACTATCAAACTGCTCTGCCTTTCAGTTTTCAGAAGAATTAGCAATGATTTCCATACCCAGTTTGCTAAAATGGACCTTGCAAATCCGTTCCCTCACACTATTTAGTGAGGTAGTAAAAATATGAAGGGCATTTATTTGAAGAGTAATTACTATCCACGGAGAACCACATTTGATATCTGACTATGAAATCAAAGGAAGAACAGGACTGGGGTCAAATCAGTAAATTAATTAGAAAAGAGTAAGATAAATAAATGCAATGATCAAATCTAGATACTGCATATCCTCTGCCTGGAGCTATTCCATTTGGTAAAGAAAAGATCAAGACAGCTGAAATAATCTGAAGTAGCAGTGGCCATGAATGAAAAATCAAATGTGAGGAATATCTGAGGATAAAGAAATAACAGAGCCTTGAGCTTTAATAAACAATACTTCTGCTTCCTTAGCACTTCCCGCCTCGGGATCTCAAAACAACCTCTGTCCACTAAGGAATTAAGACTCCCAATGAAGGTCACAACTGTGCAGCTCCTTTTCCCCGGCCAGCCTCCTTTTCCACTGAGAGATGTTGCTCAGAGGATATTGATGGCTTTCTGTATTTGTTGGGGATTTGGGATGCATAGCAGCCCTGCTGGAGCAGCAGCTTTGAGCAGGTTTCAGTAATCCAGAAAGCAGACACGTGCACCACGAGCCCTCCTGCCTTTTGTGGTGGGGTGACCATCTGCGCTGCACGTGCAAGGAGTGTCTGAGCTCTCCTGGCAGATAAATAGGGCAACCTCCTTTTGTGGGGGGATGAATAAAAAAAGTTGTCTTAAGGGGAGCAGAGGATGGTTGATTGGTTTTTGTCTTTGGTTGGTTTTACTCAAGCTAGTGCTATTATGGTTTGTAGTACCACTTCCAGGCCCTAGATGCTGTTTGTGCTGGATACTGTGTTAACAAGTGCATAACAAACCTGAGCAATCTCACTGCTCTGACCTGTGGAAGGATTTCTGATGGAAGGCAACAGAGTTTCGCTCCAGGTATAGCAGTATGTTTTTGTGGACAGTTTGGAATTGGGGACAGAATGAAGGTAAGGGTCTAAGGATAAAGCTCCAGACTTACCTACCCAGGTCTTGGGTTCAGGTGCCTGAATAAATGATGTGATTTTCAAACAAGGAAGGACCCACCTTTTCCAGTTATTGTTAGTTTGGTGTCAAACACATGTCTGCTGGTTTTAGTAATCCGAGTATGGATTAACAAGTAGGAAGAGAACCATTCTGGCTCAGCTCTGACTCATGAGAACTCCCATTTGGAGAGAGTTGCTGTAGCTGAGAGCTGGCCCTGCAGGATCAATTCACTGACAAGCACAGTGAATGAACAGCAGAGCCTTGTTGACCCTCCTGTAGGTTGTTTTGCCTTGGTTCTGTCCCGTTTGAAAATTGCAGGCACTTATTCTTCCTGAAAAATTGCACCTGTCCTTGGCATGACTAAACACAGGATGGAATCCTGACTCAAATTGTTCCTGCTAATACCTCTGTGAGTGCTGGGTGCTGAGTGAGGAATAGGAAAGGCTTCTCTCTTGGGTAAAGTGGTGAGTAATGCAGTCATCTCATCTCCAGTTCTAACCTTTTTCCTTGGGATTTGGGCTAGAATTACAGGGCTACTGAGTCATTATTTGGCCAAGTGTGCCAGAGGACATGTACCTGTGTAATTCTACCCCTCAGTTCCACACACTGGTGCAGCTTGCCATGAGCCTACCAACTGAGGCAGTTTTCCTCTCTGCAGCGTTTGTACCTCGTGTGTGCCTCTGTGTTGTAGTTTATGAAACATTTTTATGCCAAGACAGCAGCATTTCCCTCTCAGATGTCGAACCAAGGGGCATGATAGGAGTTAGAGTAAGGGTATTCTGGTAAAATGCCTTCACTGGCATATTTTTTAATGGCTGGGGTTTTTTCTGGCCGTGGTTTGAGAAACAATGAAGAGAAAGGTGGTGTATAATCTGTTATAGCAGGCTTGTCATCCCACTCGTAGGCTCAGAGCTGCTGTGGGTGCTGAATCCTTGGTGAGTCACTTCCCTCTCTGTTTTCTGTGATGGAGAAAGAGAAGATAAGGTGTTCATGCAAGTTGTGAAGAACGCTCAGGATGCTGGAGTCTGTAAGGAACGAGACCTTAAAGACTATTTGTCTCTATTGTTGAAGGTTTACCATGACTTCAAATTCTACCCTAGACCCAGAGGAGGGCTGGAAGTTTTAGTCTGTTTTGAAGCCCCTCTGTGGCGTGGTCACATTCAACAAACTTGGTAGGCAGTGACTCCAGTAACTCTCCAGTTTCTTGTGCTAAACTCTCAGCCGCCTAGGTATAGGTCATTGTTGACTAACAGCTGAAATTTGGAGCTAGTTCTTTCACTGGATTTGTCTCTTTTGCTGTAGTTAAGGAATAAAAAGAAGGATAACATCATAACTTTCTTTGGAAAACACAAATTCAGAATATACCAAATTAAATACAAGAACCAGTTCTAGCCCTTCCCAAATAAAACATGCTGGCATTTAGGATATTACTCTTCTAAGTGTGCACGTTTATACTGTAGCAGATTTTTATGGAATTATCCATGACCATGGGTGGTATCTGTTTATATCTGCATCAGTGACCACTGGTCAAACACAAAAAGCAAAGGTCTGTCTAGCCCCATATCCTGCCTCTTGATAATGGCTGGGGTTTTTTTGGCCATGGTTTGAGAAACACACTTGTGTATGGAAAACAGGACGAGTATGGAGTGATACTTCCTTTTGTAAACTCTCCCAGCTTCCAGCGGTTTTTGTTATAGAGACCTTCCTGAGCTGGAGCCTGCAGCTGTAATCATTGTTTTTGATATTCCTTGATGGACCTTTTTCCATAAAATTGCCTAATCGTTTCTGTAAAACCCACTTGTCCTTTTGGCTGCCATAACATCCCGTGGCAATGAGTTCCACAACATCATTAGGCATTGTGTGAAAATTAACTTCCTTTTGTTTGCTTTTGAACTTGCTCGCTGCCTGCCAGTTTGAGTTGGTGCCCTATTATTTCTGTTAAGACTACTTTTAAATAATCATTGCTGTTTACGTTTTCCATGCTGTAACAGCTTGTCTAGAACTTAATTGTTATTATCCTCGTTCTCCAGGTTGAACAGCTCTGGTTTGTTTAAGTTCTGCTTGTGCTGAGGCTTTCTAACACCTCTAGTGCAGCTTGGGTACACCAGAGCCCTTTCTGTGGCTTTGTATTTCCACAGTTACTGGAACTGTGCTCAGTATTGGAGAGATGGGCATACTACGGATTTATTCAGAGAAATAATGCCATTTTCTGCTTTTTCCTCATTCTTCTAGGAATTCCCAAGAGGACAGTTCATCCCAGCTGCCGACACTGTGCTGTTCGTTTTGGATCCACTTCTCCAGGATTTCTTTCATGGCTCATTTGAAGCACGGTGAGAATGGCTTTTTCCTCATCTATTCTTTTTTACGCATGAACCTTGAGTTAAATGTACTGTTTTAACATCACTCACTGAATAAACTTTAGGTTTCAGTTTTCGAATGGCTTTGTATCATCAGCCACCTATCTACGGCATTTCATAGGATCACAGAATCAGCTGGGTTGGAAAAGACTTCCGAGATCATCAAGTCCAACTCTTGATCCAACCCAGCCGTGGTTCCCAGACCATGGCACTGATGCCACATCCAGTCTCATCTTAAAAACCTCCAGGGATGGTGAATCCACCCCCTCCCTGATCATTTATGGATGTGAAACAGCAGTAGTCCCATCACAGACCCTATTCTGGGTCTGTGGGGAACTTCCAGCATCACTGATGCTGAACATCCACTTCTCTTGGTTATGATCACCAGTTCTGTCACTTATTCTCTCTTCCATTCTTGCAGTAAGGCTCATTTATGAGCTGGATTTCATACCACAGTTAATAGTCTGGCAATTTCCCACGTGATACCTGAAGGATTATCAGTTAATCCTCATGTCATGTTTTCATCTGTGTGCTGCTGCCTTAAATTCATCCTCCTTGCAAAGGGGCTGTGGGTCTTATTGAACACAGATACAAAGATTTGCTGAGCTTTCCTGCTATCACCTCAGCACCTGGGACGCCTTTTTAAATGCCTCAGTCCTTGGCACTGTGAGCTGGTCAGGCTGAGGCCCAGATTTACACAGTCTGTAATTTTCTGTGGTCAAGCTGCTCTGGGACTTTTGGCCCAGTGTCTCTGTGTCTGTCTTTAGGGGTGACACTGATCCTCTCACTGGAGAAATAAACTGAAATACACTGGTGTGTGATGTGGGGTTTGGAAGTCTAAGCTCAGAGTTGTTCTAGAAGTGGATGATTAGATGGGACATCCTAAAATAAAGAGCAGAGGGAGAGAAAAGGGGAAAAGACAGTAAATAAGCCCGCTCTCTTTTCCTACTTATGACCCCCTCTTTTCCTGCTTATGCTAACAGGGTTCAGTTTTGGCATTTTGGATGGCTGAAGCTTTTCAGTTTAACTGCTAATAGTTCATGTGAGTAACATTTATAAATTCATTTATATAGAACTGGATTAATTTGTAGAAAGAAAATTATAAACAAACAGAGAAAAACATTTAAAAATGTAAATAACCTGATTTTCTAATTACTCTCTAATTATTCTTTTGTGTACAGAAATCCTATATACCTTACTAGGTTTGTTCTTTTCTCCAATGAATGCTTTAATTAAAATGCAACATTTGTCCCCGTTTTCCAAAAAGCAGCCACGTACTTTGCAAACTTGATTATAGAAATGATAAGTGTAAGATATTTCCATGATCAAGCAACCAGCTGCCCCACAAATCATTCTGCTTCATCACTCTGTGGAGAGAGGATTGAATGGGCTATGAAAAGCACTGTAAAGGTGTACTTTTGGTGAGTTCTGCAAGTGGCCAAAGGATAGGGAGGACGCAGTCAAGAGAGCACTGTCTTGCTTGCATATCTGACTGCCACCCACTGAACTGGGCATTACCCTCCTTCAGGAGGAAGTGTGGGTTTTTTTCAGGAGACCTACTTGAGTTTCATTAAAACCTGTCCTGAGAAATCACGAGTTAACAGAACGCAGTTCCTACGGCATTAACCTTTCCCAAATGCAGTCTGTGGCAATCACAGTTCTGGTAGATTGAGTTTCATGGGAGATCTCAGCATGTTTATTTTCCAGCATCCTCAGCTGTGTTTGGGCAGCGTTGCTGTTGCCTTCCTCCAGATGGGAGCAGGCAGGAATGCAGGAGCGCCAGGTGCTTTGCTCAAGGACATGAGAATCAGCGCAGTTCACCGGTGCCTCACTGGCACTTGTGCTCGCTGTGCTTTGGTCTGAGCGGTCACCTGGATTGTGTTTACTCCCCTTTGTGGGCTTGCAAGCATTCCTTCATTTCATGTCTTACAAGAGAGTTCCCCTGAGGATGTGGAGGGCCCTGAGCAAGGAGCACAGCGGGAGCAGCTGCAGTCTCTTCTGTCCAGAGATCCTCTTGGTGGAAGACAAACTGCACCACGTGGCTCTTGGGCTCAGGAAGGATGAGCCTCACTTAGGTTTTCTCTCTCAGTTAATTCTGACACAATTTATCTGTCCTAAGAGCAGGAGGTGGGGAAAGCACAGAGGCTTGGTCTGTGTCCTACCTGAGGAGTGGTTCCAGCTTAAAAAAATCAGAACACCGCTTTTGGTGTTGAGAGCTGGTAGTTCTGGTGCTGGGTGGTGGAGCTCTGTCTGAAGCACCACCAAGCCTCAGAGCTTTGCGTGTGGATGGGAAGCAGAACCCAGGCTGACACTAAGCTGTTGTTGACTGCAGTGAGCACAGAAACCCAGAGCTGAGGGTAGCTGGGACCTCAGAAGTCTGGATTCTCAAATCTTTCCTTAAGAGCATGGGATATTTATGGCCTTAATAAAATTATGGAAGAAAGAAAAAGAGCATTTTCCCATGCAGTTGTCTAAATGTGTTGGGAAATCCTGTTGCTGAGGTTTCCTAAAAGAGGAGAAACTTCTCAGATATCTCCCTCAGCATTAGGAGTGTGTCAAAATACAAAAGTTAAAATAGAAACTGGGAAGCCTCAGTGTGTCAATGGCTTTGAAGACCTTGCTGATGCCGGGATTATGGTTTAGTGTAGCTGGGGTTCTGGTTCTTTCATTAGAAAAAACAGAATCAAATGTAAAAATGAAAATAAAATTATTACTTCTTCAGAAACCTTAAGGCCAGGAGAAGAACACTGTGGCTACCAACTGGGATAACTCAGTTTAGGCCTGATAGAAAGAAACGATAGATCTCTCAAGTATATGCTACCTCACAGGCAGATTGTAATGAAATCCAGGCAGATTCAAGGGAAAACCAAAACCTATTGATTTTATTCCAAGGGAAGAGAGAGAAAAAGAGCAGATGTATGGAGTCTCCTGTCCATTCACTGCAATCTGCAGTGCTGACTTAGAAAAGATAATGGCTTAAGCTTTGTTTCTTCTTGTGCTTCCCTCTGTAGAAATGCCCTGGCTTAGGCACCCAAAAGATTCAGTTTGGGGTGGTAGAGGGGAGGGAGGGTGGGGGGAGCAAGGACCTCACACAAGAACTGACCTAAACTCTGAGGAGGTTTGTATAATCTAATTTACAATAAAATGGTATTTACAATGTTATCAGACAAAGCTTAGCAGTGTTAAGTTAAACAGCATATAATGTGATTAGCGGGGCAGTCATGCCCATGATGTCATACACATTCTCTGAACTCTTGGAATGGGCAGATAATGTCTCAGGCATTTGTTCTCTCCTGACAGGCAGGAAAGGCTCCGTGGAGCTCTGGGGGCTGGGAAGGCTCAGTGCGTGTTCCCGCGTCCCACAGCCCTGCAGAGGCTGCTCCCCTCGGCTCAGCACCGGGGCTGTGGTTGCTCCCTGCCAGCTCCGTGCTGTGGAGTGGTTAAAACAGCCCTTTGGGAACAGTTCAGGAGCTTGAAATTCTATTCTTGGCTCTGCCGCAGACTTGGGTTTTGACCACTAAATCTTCTTTGCCTCTGGTAACTCCCTTTTTAACTAGCAAAGGTAGACAGCTGTGCCTGTGGAGTGCCCCGAGTGGGAGCTGTATGGAGATGGAAACCACTGGCATTCTGTTCATTATGCAGAACAAATGCAGCTAGACCACAAGGAGCTTTGCTGCAGCAATTTCACAGCCAGTAATGGCCCAGTCAGAGAAAATTAAATCTTTATCTTTCTGCCTCTCCAAGGCATGCAAAATGGTATTAAAAATTTTGGCTAGTCTAATTAATAGGGATAAGCAATATAAATCTCAGCTATAGATCCGTATCAAAGATAATCTAGACTGGGTTTATTTTAAAGAGTGTTTTGCTTTAAAAAAAAATCATGCTAAAAGCTACTGACTGAGGCGAAGCTCCCTCGAAATTTTCAAGTTATTGCAGTGGCTGTGAAAGGACAAATTCTGGAACATTTTAAGAGTATTTGACTCACCCGTGTCCATCAGGGACAATATGCCCATGTTGCTCCACGCATGTGAATGTTTAATAGAAGCACAAAGACTGCACACCCATTCTTTCTGGTGTGAAGGCTGGGTGAATTGTTTAACTGGTGTAGAGATGGACTAGATAGTATTGCTGTTTTCAGCGGCGCATGGAGTGAATGTGGCCTAGACTTGAGTTCAAATGGGAGTTGCAGCTGTGGAGAACGAGATGGGGGCTGCACACAGGGCTGAGAAAGCTGAACAGAAGTGCTGATGGGCAGGAAGGAACAAGTGAACTTGGAAACCACGGCTCATGCGTCGTCAACTGTATTATACGTTAAAGTCCAGTGCAACACTTGCAGGGTGCCCATCTTTGGTCAGGAGCAGGCGGTGCCTTGGCTGCAGCACTGCCCTGTGTTTGTGGCATCGCTGGGTGCGATGAGAAGCACGTGCAGCAGTTTTGTTTGAGGGCAGAGGGATGCCACCCAGAATAAACCTTTGGTGTTCACAAAGGGCAGGCCAAGCTTTTGTCTCCGTGGCTGATGAATCAGGAGCAGGGGCCAGGTGTAACATGAACAGAGCATTGACCAGTCTGGCCAGACACGTGGGATGTACTAACGACAACAGGGAATGAAAGCAAAGCCTGCAGGTAGACACCTTCTAAATAATCAAGGCTGACAGTTTTACTACAATAGCACAGTTTAACACTTTGTAGGTATGTGCTACAGCGTAGATGCTGCTGATATTAAGTAGTCTGCAAGCATTAGACAGCTTATTTAGAGGGGAAGTTTTATTTCAACCATTTTTGTGTTTGTTAATTTAATTACAAATGTAATAGTATCTTATTGTTGCAGATGGTGTTGCCAATAGATTACTCTGAATGATGTACCAGGAAGACATTTAAATGACCCAGATTAAACTCACAGAGGAACTGGGCATTCCAGATATGTTCTCAAACAGAGAACCTTTCCAGGAATGGGTATTTCTGACACTCCTTATTAAAGACATGTACAAATACTTGTGTGATACCTGGGCAATCAGAGAAGCTGTGTGGAGGCAGATTGCGCACAGAGCCTTCAGTCCTGAGGACTGGGCTGGGTTAGGGACACCCTGCACACTGTGACAGGATGTTCTGTCCCAAACCTCAGCTCACCTCTCTGGAAAAGCCTGTGATCCTGTGTGCAGCAACCGGCCTAGGAAAGGCATTTGGAATTTCTAGTGACAAAGACCAATTAGGGACATGCCCAGTCCTTAAAGCAAAAAAAACTTCACAAACTGTAGAGCCTGAAATCTCAGTGAGCGAAATGCCTTCCTCCCAGCTCTCACAGGAAGCAAGTTAATTGGGAGGCCAATAACTATAATGAGGCAGAACCTGGGGTTTTGCGTGTGTATGGTGAGATCCTCCCCTTGGGGCCAAACTCCTGTTCCATATTAGAAAAGCAGTAAAAGGTCCCCTCAGCAGGTGCTGCATAAAGGCATTTCAGCTTTGCCTTTGCAGTGCTGGAATTGCCAAGCTATTGCTTTCCTGAGTCTCCAAATGAATTCCCCTCCTCAATGTGGAACAGCTGTGGGAGAGATACAGCCTTGAGAAAAGGGGTGGCAAAGGAACACAGCAAATGGGGATTTAATCAAATAGCACCGGGCTGCAAAACAACATCAGCGTGTTCCTGCTCTGCTTTCCTTGGGTAAGGGAGACTTTCTCAGTATCAAAGTGGTAAGAGTGAGTGAATAGCACTGGCTGTGTCCATCAGTGTCTCAGTAACAGCAGGGTTACCTGCAGTGGTGCCCAAGAACCTGACATCCTGGAGGAAGATGGTTCTCTTTTTACCCACCTGAGTGTGGCTGCTGCCTCTGCAGAGCTGGCTCAGGCTGGCTGCCCCAAACACCCAGGCTTTGGCCATTTGAGCCGAAGTGGAAGTGGATTAGGAACTGTGGCGAGATGGGACAAGTCTGAGAGGGTGGAAGCAGTTCATTGGGACAGGGTAGCTTTTCTCTTCCTTCATATAGGACTGTACAAGTAGTTGCTTTCTTCCTCATCAAAGCTTTCCTAAACATGATTTGCAACAACAACAAAAAAAAAAGCTGTGTCAAGTGAGAAAAGGTTATATTAAGGACCATGAATTGTGAGAGTTACTGGTTTTCACTTGCACTCCTTTTAGGAAAGTTTGTTGTGTGTCCAGTCTACCTATGTGAATTTTCAGAGTGCTTCCTAAGAGGTTTTTGACAATCCATCAGCTTTGTCAGATACTGACTGTGCCTGTTTGATCTGAGTGATCGCTTAGTTAGAAGTGTTATGTCTGAAATATAAAACAGACAGGGAGAAAAAGAAAATGAAGGCGAGTTTGTAACGAGCAGAATGTAGCTGGCTAATTACTGTGGCAGGATAATGTCTTAGAAAAATCCGTACCATTATCAAACTGCCATTTTTTCTTGTTTCCATGACATAAAATTTCTTTGAAATCTTTTGGTTTAGAGTGTGGTAAGCACTTTAAATAGTGATCAGAGCTAAACAGCAGCATCTGTCAGAGAAGACAAATGACCTACCAGCAAATCCTCTCAGTTAAAAGCAAGACAAAAATCTATGGAGTAGGGGAATGAGTTTTAAATTAGTAATTTCACTTAACTTTGCCCTAATGAAGGGCTAATCTTTGGACCCCTGCAAAACAAATGAGAGCATCTCGTTAGATCCCAGCGGAAACCGGTCACTGAAAAGGCTTTTTTCCTTCTGAGCCTAATTGGAAGCAAAGTAATTCCTTTGATAGCTGTCTTCATTTAGCAGTATCTTTCCCTCTTCCTGATTTATGTACAGTAAACGAACGACTCCGTTAATCACAAACACGTTTGCGCGTTTGCAGATTGACAAGTTAACTCTGCTTGGGTGAGCCTGGGCAGGGCAGTCCCAGCCGAGCTGCAGGGGCTGCCTGAGCTCAGCCTGCCGTGGAAGGCGCGGAGGGAAATGGCTCTAAAAGGATGTTGAGGCAGCCACGAGCTGAGGGTGAAGTGCAGCGTGGGCCACTGTGGAAACGAGCTACGTTTCCACAAGTTAAAATCTGACCTGAGATTTCAAGGGGATTTCATTCATTACGCTTAGCTTGCTCTTCTATTTTTGTGCATAATGGCAAAAGAAGTTGGTCGGGTTTTTTTCCCCCTAAAATTTGAAGAAATGATAGAAAAAACGTTGGCCTCTTGATTGCTATAGAAGCAGGATTGTGCCTTTAAGGCAGAGGGAAGGAATGTGTCAGTCACGGCCCCTCGAAAACACGGACTTATCTTGATTAGAGTGTTAGCTTGGTAGTAGAATATGATCTCATCACTGTGAAAGACTACATGAAGTATCGACTTGGCTGGCCTTGAAACAGCTCTATTCTCAGCTGCATTTTCAATCGCTGCAGCTGACGTGGGGTTCTGTAATTTGAAGAGACGGCCATAAAGATGGCTTGCAGAATTTGGTCTATTATTCGAGGAAGAAAACTCAGGAGTGGATTAAAGCACGGCTGCCTCTGAGTTTGTTTTCTCTTTGTTTATTTGTTGTTGTTGTTGTTGTTTTGGTTTGGTTTTGACGATTTCAAGACCCAGCAAAACTTGAACGCTCTTAACTTTACAGTACTTAGAATTTACATCAAACCTGGGAAGATAAGATCCCTGTCTGATGGAAAGTCGTTAAAGTCCGTGTAGACTAAAATGTGAATTATTTTCCACCTTCAAGGAACGATATGCTTGAGGACATTAAGTGCATAAGACAGTTTTGAGCAGTAGGAGTTCTGGGTGCTGGAATCAGGGAATGCTTTTTGTGGAGCACGTGATATGCTGTGCTTGTGTTTGCTCTGAAACCTTGAAACCAGATGGCATCTTCCTGAGTGGATGAGAATCAGGTGTCATTTATGCTTGGGTAGGTGGTATTTTTAAAGGAGATAACTTTCTACCTTGAAATTAAGTTGTAAACTAATTATTTCCTCAAGATGCTGAGGGATCTCTGGTGCTGAAACTGTCAGTCTGGCAGAGAAGAATCTACCTGGAAAGTAAATTACAGCTGAGTACTCAGCTGACCAGTCTGATACTCTGAGGCAAAGTCAGAAGGTCTATTAATTGGTTTTCTCTTTTATGTCAGCGTAAAAAATACTTTCTAAACTATGGAAAAAAAAGGAAAATTATTTCTCTGCTAATTCATATGGATACCAGGCATGTGTATTATGTATTTACTTGTTTTCCTGAGCTTAAGTTCAAAGAGCACACCAATATCCTGGCCCAAAAGTAAGGCTGGGAAAAGGTAAAAAAAAAAAAAAAAATGCTGTTTTCAGTTTGACTTCTGCAGGGGGTAGCAGATGCCATGCACTAAATGAAGTCCACTGGAGTGATGGAGGCCATTTGGGCACGATTGGAGCCGGGGTGTGAATCCTGAGGCTGTGCAAATGAAACATCAGTAGGCCTGCCAAGCCTAAGAAAAAGTGTTTTATTTCTAGGGATGTATTCCAGGAACTGCATTTGGAACATAGACACTACCATAAATGACCCCTGCAGCAGATTTGGTGGCATTTTGTGTATCTTTCCAAAATCCCAGCAGGGGTTCACGAACAGGGTTTCAAAAGCTGGAAGGGGCTCTCAGCCTCGGTGTGGCAGAGGTCAGGTTCTACTGCATTTGTGTAGTTCTGAGTCTTTACCTGAAGACTCAGTGGCAGACATAAACTAAGATGCTGTCTGAAAACTGAAATGGGAAGAGAGTAGATTTTTCTCTGCTCTACAGAGCAAAACTTCAGCTAAAGAGGAAGGTGTGGTGGGCTTTCTGTGGTACAGGCAGTTAACTGAGGTAAAGGGTGGTGTAGTCTTTTCTAAACTATTTCTTGTAAAAGGTACACAAGGAAAAAGCTCTGATAAATATAACTGAAGTTATATCAAATAATAAAAAAAGAGAGAGTGACGAAACAAGGCATCACTTAGTCCTGTATCTCTGTAATAACCTTGGAAAAGAGGGCAAAAAGGGGAACCATAAAGAAAGTTAATTCAGAGCCCTCTGGTTTGCCTTTTAATGTCCTGGAATTTCTGTGTGATTCTCAGTGAAGATGCTCAGCATTGCTGGAAGCCTGACCTGACATGGAAGGTGTTTTCTCTGCTTCTTGGCTCTGGGGAGGTGAGAGGAGGCTGTGGTAAAACCCTCCCCTGCAGCTCTGCAGCCAGTGGCTGACAGCTTTTTGGGATGAAATCGTGTTATGCATTGAGGGTCTCAGATTCTTTCCAAGGAATCTCACAGATTGTTGGGAACACAGACAATGAGTCATTTCTTGGGAGAGGGTTTTGTTTTCATATCCTCAGTACAAGGTGTTGCTATAAGAATACTAATCATTGTTATGGAGACAAACAAATGCATTCAGGCTGCAGTTCTGACCCAATCTGTTTTGCTGCTTCTTTGCATGGGTATTTACTAGTGTGAATTGTGTGGTTTTTATTTCTCTCAGTAGCAGAGTTTCTAATTATGGCAAATGGGAACAGCAAAAAATAGCATGACTCAAGCCTATGAGCAAATCAGTTTTCTAAGTATTTGAATTTTGAAGGAAAGTGTTTTGTGTTGGTTTCGGTTTTGGGGTTTTTGTGTTGTTTTGGGGTTTGTTTTTTTTTTTTTTCCCTAAATAATCTGATATTACTAGAACTGCAAGGAACTGATCTTCTCTGAGACCTGTACATCCTATTCAGCCAAGAAGAGGAAGAGAAGAGGCAGGAACCTCCAAGACTGGCAGACTGATAAGTCTAGAAGTGACACCAAGGGCTGAAAACTCTCTCAACTGGTGCTTTGAGATGAACAAAATGATGTGAGGTTACAGTATTCATTATGAAGAGTTTAGAAGCAGTAACTTACATTTAGGGAGGGACTAAAGCATCAGCAACCTGCATAAAATCACCCTCAGATTTGAAAGATCTGTTCCTCTGAGGGCAGAAGCAGCTTTGGTAGGAGGCAGGGTTTGTCCTCACTGCTTGTTTCAGGACTGCTGATATTAATTCTGTGCTAAGGATGGCTTAACCACCCCTACTTGAGGTGCTGATTGTTCTTTGTTCTGTGCTCCAAATACATCCAGGCTTCAGCTGAAGTGTAGGAAAGGTCATCGTTGCATTGGAGAGCTGGCAGGGATTTAATGTTGTTTTTACAGACCCAACAAACTACAGGGCCTTATGCCTGTTTCATGTATGTCAGGCTGAGGATGTAGTTTTTTGTTTCTTCAAGGAGGTTTTAAATTTTGTTTCAATAAACCCTGAAGCACCCAGTGTTTCATTCATAGATTAGGAATGTCCAGCATGTGTTTCTGTGGCTTAAGGGAATTTGCTTCTCTTGAGCTGCTGAGACAGTGGGCAATTTTTCATTAGTGCCTTTTTCTTCCCCCCTGGTTTTCCTTTTCTTGGTCTCTGCTAATCAAATCTGAACCTAATACTTGAATCAAATTCTAAACTCTGATGTTCAAAGTAGGTGTTTGATTGGGCTGAAATAATTCATTCTGTCCATGCTGAACCCACCTAATCTACTTGCAAGTTGTATTCTTGCCCTTTGTAGTGCAACATTTCTGTCACCCAAGCAAGAAAAATAGATCTTCCCATGCTTGGCCGATTCATGTAAGCCACTGTTCAGTGAATAGACCCTTTGGTGTGTCACTTTTTTTTCCTGCTTGTTTGATAAACTTGAGACATAGTTACTTTGAAGATTGGGCATTATCTACCTACCCTGGGAACAGGTCCATGAAAACTGAGATTGGATCTCTGGGCTGCTGACAAGCTAATTCTGGACATTATTGTGAGCCTCAAGGTCAGGGTGCTTTCAACAGCAGAATAGAATTTCTGGTGCATTCATCTCTCACTTTAAACAGGCCTCTCTAAACCTGAGCTACCCTGTCCTGCTGCTATGAGAATTCAGCCTTATGTACATTGTAGAAGGTTTTAAAGATACTGAGATAGCAAACGGAGAGGAGGTTCAGGCTCTGGAGAGGTGATTAAGTGACAGCATGAGTTTTCACCCTAAGGAGCCTCCACCCAAACTCTTGGCTGAATAAAACCACCTTCCTGTGTTACAGTAACTGATGTGAAAAGAACTGGTGAACACTGTTTTTGGGAGATGAACAGAAGAGGTTTCTCCACTGATTGTTTTTATTTATAGACAGTACTACAGTAAGCCATTTATGGGCAATTTCAGTGGGCAGGTGAAGGGGCTGAAGGACAGGGATGCTGAGCTTGATTTCTCCAGAGCAACAACAGGGTGTTCATCTGAGGTGGAAGGGACCAGTGGGATTTGTGGGTCCCACTCTTCTCTGACTGTTTGGGATAGCATTTGCCCCCAGAATTCACTCCTGGCAGTTGTGTGCAGTGAGGGGACTGCACTGCTCTCGTGACTGCCTTCTGCTGTGCTGTCAAAACATGCTTAGCTTTTTCATTATTGCCAATCAGTCTTTGGTAGAGTGTGTGTTGACAGTGTACAGAAATCTGGCAAAGATGATGCCTGGCTGCAAATAATAAACGGTAATTCAATCTCACTTCCATTGTCAAACACAGGTAGGGCTGTTATCTGCAGACTGGAGGTGTGGTTTGTTTTTTTTTTTCATAGAATAGTTTGGATAGAAAGGGACTTTTTAAATGCCATCCAGTACAACCCCCCTGCAATGAGCAGAGATATCTTCAGTTAGACCAGGTTGCTCAGGGATGGGGGATCCACAGCTTCTCTGGGCAACCTGTGCCAGTGTTTCACTATCCTCATCATAAAAAATGTCTTCCTTAGAGCTAGTCTAAATCTAACCTCTTTTAATTTAAAACCATTCCTCCTTGTCCTATTTGCATCTGTTAAAAAAAAGTCTGTTCCCACCTTTCTTACAAGCCCCTTTTAAGTACTGAGAGGTCACAGTAAGGCCCCCCTGCTTTGGGGGCAGCCCAGAGCACGGGTGGTTTCTGGGCTCCCAGCTCCCATCGGCAGTTCACGTCCGGCCTTTCATCCACGCCCATCCCAAAGTCCTTCTCAGCAGAGCTGCTCTCAGTCCCTTCATCCCCCTGCCTGTGCTGATACCAGGGGTTGCCCTGTTCCAGGTGCAGGACTTGGCACTTTTCAGTACCAAGTTTCTGCAAAGAAGCTGAAATAGGTGTTGGAATTGCCAGCACTTCCAAATCTGTAAGGAGGCCATCTCCTCATGGAGTGTCAGGAGAGGCTGGGCCAGCACCCCCTACCCTGGGAGATCAGTGTCCCTCAACAGGTGTTGGGTGTGCCAGAAGACAGGATCCACCTCTTCCCTGGGAAGTCAGCCAGGAGGCCTTGCTGCTCCACTCCTGCGTGTCTCTCACCAGCAGATCATCTCCAGGGTGTGAATGCATTCCCAGCTGGAACTGGAGAGCGGCGGCACTAAATAAAGACCAGCAGTTAGAAACGCTTCAGTTTTCAAGCAATAGGGTAACAAATATAAACAGAGGGACATGTAAAGCAGATTTAGGAGAAGAGAATCCCAGTGCACTCATTTCCAGGCAATGGAGAAACTGAGAGAGAGGATCTGCAGGAGATGAGTGTTCTGACACACTCTCTGTGTGTGAATGTGTGCACACTGTTATTTCCCTCTGTGCTTTGGTTTCTTCAGGAAACAGAGAAAAACTGCAGTCAGGATGAAATATGCCATGTCAATTATTTTTCTTTCTTATGAAAGATCCTTCCTCTTTATCCCCACCCTGCAATGTGTGCCATGTTTTGCGTGCTCTCTCTGAACACTCTGACTTGCTGACCTTCTTTGGGCAAACGAAGGACTGATGTAACTTCCCACGAGTCCCATCTGAAACAGCTTCCTTTTGAACCCATCAGCACTGGTTTCTGATGACTGGAGGGAATGCTGCAGAGCTCCCAAAGTTCAGGTTCTCGCCTGACCACTGTACACCCCAACTGCCTGGAAAATCAAAACCGCCTCTGGAGAGAGTCTCTTGGCCTGGTAGAAAGCAGCAGAGAACGGCAGCTTTATTTAAACTTTTAATAAAGGTCTTCTGAGCAGGATTAGGTGTTTATGGAATGTCTGCACTAGTACATAGTATTAAAGTGTATCTTAACATTATTACTATGATATTCAAGTGAGGGGGAAGACCCTGCAATTTTTAATGAAGTGCTGATGGCTTTGCTGATTGCAGGAGTGTCCAGCTCCTGGTGCTGTGGGACTGCAGAGTTCCTGAGGAGCTGGTGCTCAGCTTGGGTCTGCATGTTCAGACTGATCTGACCGAGTCTGGCATTATTGATGGCTGAAGTTTTGCCTTCAATCTTGCACGATTTGAGTAGAAGGTGTCAGAAATCTTGCAGGACTAAGTTTCTCCCTCATGGATGGTTCTGTCAGCTTGGAATGGCATTTTTCAAGAGGAGATTCTGGTTTGTTCATGCCACAATCAGATCTGTGTTTCTTCTGAATCAATGTCTGGATAAATTAAAACCAAAGCATGTTACCTGATTCAGAGGATTTAAATCCAGACTGTTCATCCCCTACTTTTCAAGAAGTTCAGATCTGAGGGTTGGATTTCAGGAAATTTTCATTTAGGGAGCGACTAGAGTTGCAAAAGCCCTAGAATCCCGAGTTCTTTGTTCACCAGCCATGCACAGTGCAGACAACAGCAATAGCAGCAATTCACTTCCCCAGAATTGCAAACAAGCTTAACCCTGAGCTGGAAAGGCCGTTCTCTGGAGGGGTGACAGGAAATTCAATATGTGAGCTGAGCGTGCTCTGACTTCCTTGGCAGACAGACTGCCAGCTGCACACAGTTCTGCTGATGATGTGATGAGCACCCATCCTTCACTGAGGCCTCCATCAGCCAGGGACACTGCCAGAGGCCTCCAAAATCCACAGCCCCGGGGGGTGGGGGACATAGAGGTGGGCAGGAGGCCCGTGTCATTATCCCCATTGATGCCTTGGAGAGCTTCAAGGTAAACCTTTTGATGTCTCTTTTACAATGATCTGTTTTGAAATATCTGGTTCCAATGGTACTAAAAATTTGCTGTGACTGAGAACTTTTTCCAGTGCAAAGTACTTGTTAAAATATAACACGTGTCCAGACCAGACTTGAATAAAGATTGTACAGTTCTTCACATTACATTGAAAGTTTGGCAATTTTCTTGAGCTTACAATGTAACTTTCCATTGAAGTCTAATTACAGACTTAAAATAAAAAGTCTTTCCTGTTTTCTGAAGAATAACAGTGACATTTACCAAGTCCAATCTCTATTTTTGAAATCAGATATTCAGGGATGTGTTGCTATTTGGCACTTTTTTTTTTTTTCTTTTCTTTTCTTCTTTCTTTTCAACAAGTGATTCTAAAAAAGTGTCATCTTTCCCAGGCTGTTTTCTGGGCAATGCCATTTCAGTTCAGAGCCTTCATCACAGTCTGACACGTTTCTTCTGGACTATGGCCCCTTTCTAAGGGCTGCATTCTTGTCCCCCTTGGTGAGGGTCTTGTCTCTTTATCCTGAGGGTTGTTGTTTAGCCCTGGCCTGTGTTTGTCCCCCAGCTGAAGGTGAATGTTGAGCTTCTTTTGAATCTCTGTTCTATTTGAGGGAATTCTTCTACAGTAAGCAAATAAGTGGCATTTTCTGATAAAAGGAGTGTACTCTCTTCTCCTGGAACCAGTATTGTCTTCTCATCAGCCATTTGAGAGTGGAAATGTTATTTTTTACTGATGTATTTCTAATAGTCTTAATGGAGCTACCTGTGCTGTCAATCAGTTTAATTCAGTGGAAGCTCTGGGGTGAAGAGATATTGTGGAAAAACTGATTTCTTTGACTCTGAGGATATTCACAAAATTCTTTCTGTTCAAGTTTAGCTGATTATTTTATGAGTTTCCACCACACATGAGATTTGTACTGTGCAAGTCTACCCAATCAGCACAAGAACTCAAAACCTTTAGCACAAGATATTTTCAGTGGGAGTTTAATACACCAGATAAAGTCAATCAGAAACAGTCAGAAAGTTTAAATCTTTCTGTGGCAAATGCCAGATAGATTTTTCAAGGAAGGCTTGTGTATAAGCTTTATTTTTGTTTGTTTTTTGTTTTGGTTTGGTTTGGTTTTTTTTGACTGTCTTTCTCTGCCTTAAAGATGACAGGCCAGAAGTTATACTTTTATTGGTGCCATAGACTTTTTTTTTGGATCAATATATCAGTAATGACTCTTGGGAAATAAATCAGGAGCAAGTCCTTGATCATAGTTATAGGAACTCGATAATCAAGGACTTGTTCCTTCTGACATAACATGGCTAGACAGGTACTTTGGATTCAGATCTCGAGTCCACTGTTCTGGTCAGAAAATACTTTCTTGTAATGCCATAAGATTTTGCCTTTACTGAAAGGAAAAAAAAAAATAGATGGAAGAAAGCAGGTGAGGAAGATAGAAAAGGAAGGCTGTGGGATTTTCTTCCTAAAGAATTTGTAAACACTGGTGTGAGTCTTATCCAGCATGAGGTATGTAAAATATAGAGATGTTCCTGCTCTGTCAGAGTTCCTTTTTTGCTCTCATAAATAGTCTATATCAGATTTTGAAATCTATCCTGAAGGCAGCTGACACTTGGAACAATTCAGTGACAGGAACCTCTGTAGAGCTCATTTTTACACAGAAATACTCACTGATTGTCAAAAAACCCGTGGAACAAGATGAGTTTATCATCATCCCTCTCTTCTCACGTTTTTAGATGCTGTATATGTGAGAGGGTGGGGTGTGCCCCTGTTTCCAGGGGGTTATTATGATTTATGCCATGGGGGCAATGCTGACGGCCTGGCATTCCCAGGCACTGCCCTCTGGACAGGCGTGGCAGGGAGGGAGTTTCTCCAGGGAGCTCTCTGTGTTCGCTTCAGCCCTCCCTGGGAGGAGGTGGCCCGGCTGCTGAAGCCTCCCAGAGGGGTGCAGGTTTGTGTTGTGGCTGTTCTTAAAGCATATTCTTCACTTGGCACCAGCGTGGGGAGTTAACCCTGAGTGGGTCAGCCTGGAGAGCTGCTGGGAGGGACAGCTGGGGACACGGGGATGAGCCTGGGGGGCACTGTGTGCATTCATCCTACAACCCTGCTGAGGGGAGCAGTGCAGGAGAGCACATTCTCTGGTGTCCTTCCAGCGTGGGACTCGGATCTGACTTTGATTTGAGCAGGTAAATGACTCGAGAGCCCATTAGCAGTCGTTTGACCTCCTGCGCTCCCCATTTCCCTTCCCGGCTCTGACACTCCCTGTAATTTATGGAGCTATTACACTTGGGTTGGAACTCAATTCCCAGGTTTGTTCCACTTACAGAAATTAGTACTGAAAGACATAGCAGTGATGGAGGGCTTGGAATAACCACCGAGTTATTTGTCTATTTAATATACATTTTTTTAAAATGGCATCTTGATGTCTGTGAGAACACCGTGGGGCTGACTGCACTTCCAAAGTTCAGCACTTGTTTTCAGGCTCTTCAAATTTCAGGGCTGAGGGATACCACTAAAGAACTGTGAAATGGAGAGTTTACCCCGTCCCCCCTTCCTATTTCCCTCGCAAAATAAAAAGCAGGGCAGAAAAACAATGCTACTCGGACTTATTTATCTTTATTTAGTTTCTCTGTCAGTGAGGGGATGAAGCGAAAAATTCAGAACAAAGTAACTTAAAAAATCAAAGGATTAAAGGCCCATGTATGTGATCCTGATGAATTGGATGATTCAGA